CCGCTGAAAAAATCCTAGCTACGCCACTGTAGATGAGATGTATCTTTATGCTCGAGCCCAAAAATGTCGTGAAATTTCCAGCACCTAATTTTGTGGCAAAACAAATTTTGAATTTTTTGTGTAAAAATGGTATTTGGGATATTTATCAATTACCACAGAATGTGAAAGCAAAATTTCCACCAAAAGTTAAGTACAATATGCACCAAAATCTCGCGTCCGAATTTTTCTTAACGTTTGATATTTACCGAAATAAATGAAAGAAACTGCCTAAAATTTCTTCCAAGTCTTATGTTCGGATTGAAAATTTATGCAAATAACGAATTATAACTTGTAAAAGTAACTTATAACTTATATACTTATATTCATATAACTTATAACTTACCAATCCATGATGCGCTGTTTACCGCAACGTGTTACCATTTATACGAGTAAAATTAAATTATTCTGAGTTGTAATGACAGAGAAATATCCATTTATATGTTGGCTACTGTGGCAGAAATCGAAATGAAATCAGTTTTTCTACTTCTGACAATGATCCACCGCCTGTGTGTGAAATGGGTGAACGTATGTGAAACACCTACAGTTAGTTACTGTGACATATTCATGACTAACTGAAACCACAAAATTGTTAAAATATTCTGTGCATGTTGAGAAATTACGAGGTTATCATCGCAATTTCATGTAAAACATGCAAACGGCGCATACTGCATAATGTAACTATGCTACGTGTCTACAAACCCGGCCTATGTAACGAGGTATACATGCTATTTTTCGACAGTGGCAATTTCAACTCGATGGCAGTTGACGGCTGTAGGAGGGTTGAGGCAGATAGATTCATAATGAATACCATGAAGAGGCTGGTTGTATCATATCTCTAACTTCATCAGTAAATGTGTGTTTTTAAAGAGCTGCGGCTCACTGCACACGTGGGCAATCAAAATGCTCTGCAAGCTCACATGCATTTATGGAGAAATATGCATGTACAGAGGTGGCACCTAGTGTTAGTCATCGAATGAGACTGAAAATGAAAAATCATTGAACTTTTGCATAAAATCGATGAAGTTGGCGGGGATACTATGGTTTCATGTCTGTCCAGCCGCCGCCGCCGCCGCAGACACTTTCTCTTCTGCTCTATAACTCGACCCCTAATTGACTTGGCGTGACCAAACATGGTCTACTTACACATCTTGGGGAGAAGGTGCGCAGCGTACCAAAACCAGGTCACTACGACCTTTATTTGACCTTTACCTTGACCTTGATCATATTTCCCTTCCGCTCTATAACTCGGGCCCCTAATTGACCTAGCGCTACCAAACTTGGTATACTTACACATATTGGGGAGAAGGTATGTCGCGTACCAAAACCAGGTCACTGCGACCTTTATTTGACCTTGACATTAACCTTGATCATATTTCCCTTCCGCTCTGTAACTCGGCCCCTAATTGACCTAGGTCTACCAAACTTGGTATACTTACACATATTGGGGAGAAGGTATGTCGCGTACCAAAACCAGGTCACTGCGACCTTTACTTGATCTTGACATTGACTTTGATCATATTTCCCTTCCGCTCTATAACTTGACCCCTAATGGACCTAGCGCTACCAAAACCAGGTTACCAAGACCTTTATTTGACCTTTACCTTGACCTTGATTATATTTCCCTTCCGCTCTATAACTCGGGCCCCTAATTGACGCTAGCACGACGAAACTTGGTATACTTACACATCTTGGGGAGAAGGTGTGTCGCGTACGCGAAACCAGTCACTGCAGACTTTATTTGACCTTGACCTTGACTTCATCATATTTCCCTTCCGCTCTACTAACTCGGCCCTAATTGACATAGCGCGAGCAAACTTGTATACAGTTACACATCTTGGGGAGAAGGTGATGTCGGCGTACCAAAACCCTAAGGCAACCAATTTTACATACTTGCACATCTCAGCAGATGAGTTGTGTAAGCAACCTTTGTCTTTTTGACTTATTTAACTTTACCTACCTTCTACGTCCTTACAGAGATATTTCATTCATACTACAGGGTCTCCAATCATTCCTCATTCTGCGGAATCATTACGATTTCTAGGTTTAATTTCCGCATTCTGCAGTGGCAAGGTTATATTCCTCATTTCAGTTGCACTGTACAAAATTTGCACTGATTGTTCGCATTGTTCGCTTGGACACATTGTTTTTTTCAGCTGGTGCTTGAGCACTGGCCACGCGCTGGTGCAGTGTAGATGCAGCAAGTTTATTAATAGCCCTCACTGCCCAAGTCGGTTCCTGGAAATACACACTTATAGTGCTCTCTGCCATTACCTTAGCTTTGCACCCCCCCCCCCTACCATCGCTCAGTGTTATAATGTGTTTCTATGCATTTTGTATCTGGCATGTCTACGGTAAATGGAACAGCCTAGTCAGACAGGCCTGTCTGCAAGGTGTCGCGTAGTTTGTCTGCTAATTAGACAAGGGTTGTAGGGTTGAGATAGTGTCATCAGACATGAGAATATGGCCCACAGTATGCCTCAGATTGCAGGAAAATGGCTTCAATATTTCAAAATTTTCGGGGGAGCATGCCTCCAGACCCCCCTAGCACTGGCATGCCTACGGCACGCGGGCCTGCCTGCGGCAGCCAAGGTACATTTCGTCCCCCCCCCCCGTCCATCAATTTCTGAATACGCCACTAGTTACTGATCACCACGGGAACATTCCGCATTTGGAGTTCACAAGGTTGGAGACCCTGATACTAGATCACGGAGGATACATGTAGTTGGTGACAACTGCCCTTTCTAGTTTACTAGGCTTACATGCATTGTTTGCCAAGCCCACCATTATATTTCTGTGTGTTCTTCGCAGTGGAAGAGAGTGTGCCTCAGGGGTTGCAAGGTCAGTAGTTGGAAGCAGATCACAAATCGGATGAAGAAGTATGGATCTGTAAGTCTGGTGAGTGGATATTAGTGAGTGGGAACCTTTGTGGGAAATGAATCTGGTTATGTAGTGTGCCACTTGTTTTGCTACATGTCTGTCAACGTATCACAATTGGGTTGATGCTCCTACCTAATTAATCATTATTCACTAATCAGTTAATCAGTAAATCAAAGGTAAATCACAGCTGGGTAAAGAACATAATTTTTATGTACCTGCAATATTCTGAACAGTTTTTGTTTATATTCCCTTGTGCGCCAATAGTGCATAGGACCTCTGCAATTGTATTGCTTTGCTTTCCGCATCAATCTTTTTCTGGAAAAGCTACTTGCTGTGAGGAGGATAATGTTGTCAACCTCATGCCAGTTAGATAAACCCAGTTCTATGGAAGGTGTCGACTAACGTAAATAGGCGTAAAGTCAATTGATCAAGGGCATAAGAGCAGTGGATTTAACCTCGGGCCCTTTATCCCGAAGTCAAGTGTACTGTCCACTAGACCACCACTACCCCCATGGTCTAAACGTAATTTCGTATTTTTCACATGGCATCATGCACTATAGCCCATATAGAGTGCGAACCCTACTTCGTGTATTCGCAGGATCTTCGGGATGTGAGGCTATGTCCGGACTCTCAGAAGTTGTGGCAGAAGTTTGAGGAGCTGGTTAGAGCTGTGCCAACACTAAAGACATTAGATTTCGGACATGTAGGTGGTGTTTCAATGACTCAATGCTGCGTGTGGGAGGGAGACCATTTTCTCACTGCACGCACTCTTGGGCACGTGTGACAGTTGACCACCCTTCTAAAATGAAACTATAATTGAGTTACATATAGCTAACAGTAATTGCAATACGTTTTCTCATTTATGGCTATATTATGTAGTGCGTGGTACAAAGTAGCTTTGTAAATCTGAACAAAGAAATTCATGGAGCCTCATAATGTACAATGCAGCATTTTCACATTTACAGGTTTATATACATACCTATGCACAACTTTAAAAATAAGTATATAACATATGTATTCAAGTGCATCAACAAAATATGCCATCTAAAAACGCTTGGGCAGAGATATAGTCTAAACTGTAATTTCAACTTTACACTAACTGTCATGTCTATATGTGATGGTCGGTTTCTCCCACAGGTTCCCTCCTCTCTGCTGCAGTCTCTTGCTGAAATGACAGAGTTGCGTCAGCAGCTACAGCATCTTACCGCTGACAACATCATCACAAATACCATGGATGCAGAAAACCTGTACGTTCAGCCAGCAATCAGCAACACTCTTCTGTTAATGCATAACTCGCGCTGGTTGAAAACTTTTTTGATGGTCCGATCTCGAATCGGCAATTAGTTACATTATCATAATTCTTAGATTATGGTGACGACAAGTGCTTTTTGGTCATCAACAACTGAGTCTGAGTCTGACCCTCACTAACCATTTCAGGGATGAGTACACAAGCAGAATTCTTCTTTAGAAATATGTTATTCGTTGCACCTTGGCTGATATGGTCATGGACCCATAGATCATTTATAGTCATATACGTGAATAAGTTATTTTCAGTTTGTTTTAATTTTATTAATTTTATTCAATCTATATATTTTATGATATATTTTGGTGGTCCGGTTGAATTGATTAAAGGGGATCTTGCAGTGCAGTCAGTCATTAACTCCTATTGCCTGTTCAATTGTTAGATGCACTGTCTGTATGTACAGGAACAGCGTTGTTGACCTGGACCTCGGGAAGTTTGGACAGCTGTCATCCCTCCGAGTGCTCACACTACGAGGCATGATTGGAATAAAGCTGCCAGAGATAGTCTTTAGTGAAGGCCTGGCAGCTCTGGCTCAGCTCAAGCAATTGAGAGACTTGGTAGGTGCTGCCACCATTGGACAATAACTTATGTGCATCATTTGGTGAGAGGACATTATGCCGATGCCGTGATTGTGTTTGGTATCAATAGATTCAGCCCCAAATAGATTGATAATGTTCAAAATCTTTGCAGCAAGTTTTTCTGTAATAATCAAAGGAAAGAACATTTAACTTATAGTTGTGGTGTAACGTAATCTTGAATCCATAGTTACAATGAGGGATTTTATGTAATGAAATCTCAAATGCACGTTTGCTTATGGTAAAACTGTTAATGAACACAGTGTCAGCTGACCCTCAGATAGCAGAACCCGCACTATATATCTTACCCCATCCACCCACAGCATAAATAACCCCAAGCTAGGTGACCCTTACATAGTGGAACCTTCTCCAATTAGGGCTAACCCTATGCCATGTGACTTTTACATGGTTGACCCTTTTTCTGTGCAGGGTGACCCAGCCCCATAACATGCAACTCACATATCTGACCCTATCTCTGCACTTGACAAACCAATCTCAAAACATGAGACTGTCACATGACTGACTATCCACGTGCCGCGTGTACTTACCCCACTCCAGAAGATACCTAAACGGTGCCTGCTTCCAAACCTCTACATACTGGCACCTGCAATTGGACAATAACTTCATTCTGTTTAAGTGAAAGGCTAATAGTCACAGAAGGGTGTAATATTATGTATTTATCAGTTAGTAATATATAATGTATTACAGTCATTTCTTGTTTGCAATTAACGTATCTCAGCATTTCTATATATTTTCACATGCATGTTTTTTTACATGTTGTTAGCATTTGGAACAAATGTAGTTACATGTGGTTTATCTATCATTTGGGAAAAATGTCACAATTTAATTTTTCAATGTGAAATTGCAGCAATTAGTTGAATTTCTCACGTGGTTCGTTTCACCAACATGAAATATATTAATAGTGGCCTCAGGCTCGCAAGACATCGGATTTGCTATTGGATGGCTTATATCTAGTAGATAGGTGAAACATTGGCTGCAATAGTACAGAATCATTGCTGCATTCTGTGTGCTCTAACTACGACTGTACTAAATCCCTCGATGCTGCATTTCAGTCGCTGACTAACATGCGAGAGATTCCAGACAATGAGTTTGAATTTCTCGGAAGCATGACTGATCTAGTGTCGCTAGAGATTGGAGACTGCCGATGTTGGACATCTGAGGTGAGTGCAGTCTGCTAGCTTATAGAATATGATTTATCATTATTTTAGTAAATGTGAAAAAACCTTAACGTGGGTGGTTTTTAGCTCGCCTTGACATCGTCAAGATGAGCTATTGCCATTGCGCCGTGTTCGTTACGTCCATCAACATTTGCTACGGTCAACGATAACTCAAGAACCGTTTGACCCACATATTACATACAATTGCATACAATTGTTACTTTTATGGGAGAGATTTGAACGTCCTATTTTGGAGCACGCTAGTCGACCTACTTTCGAGCCACGTCCACTTTTTGGTAAAAATGGAAATCGCCATAAGTCAGGTCAGGTTTAACTAATTTTGCTCATTTCTGGTATGTGAATGAATAAGGACTGGCCCCAAAACATATCACACGGGTTTTGAGATTTTTTTTTAAATTGTGCAAATTAGGTAGATTTTGGCAATTTTACTATGCACTTCAGTGTCTGCCTACGGTCAACGATAACTCAAGAACCGTTTGACCCAGTATGTTCAAATTGCATACTGTTGTTACTTCTATGGGAGAGATTTGAACGTCCTATTTTGGAGCACGCCAGTCGACCTACTTTCGAGCCACGCCTACTTTTTGGCAAAAATGAAAATGGCCATCTAGATTCATTCGATTTTGTTAAATTTTGGTATCTGAATGTGTAAGGCTAGCCCCAAAACAGTTGTTACTCCTATGGGGGTGATGACAACGTCCTATTTACGTGTTTATTTCGTCTAACTGAACTGGTTAACGACTCTACAATCATACCTATATACGTGTAATATTGTGTTTTAGATTCTTCGTTACAGTAATTTGACTGGAATATTTTATTGTTTTTGTTTGCGCGATATTCGAAAACCAAAATGGCGATCATTTAGGCATAGCGCCATCTCTCGTCATGATTTCAGACTTTCAGATCTGAAACATTTATTTTTGCATCAAAACTATGCATATATCATTATCAAGAGTATATATTGGGAGATATGCTATATAATGGGTGCTCTCCCATATATACTCTTGCTTTATATATCCCCCCTCCCTCTTCTATCACACCCAAGGTGAGCTACAGTGTCATCAACACTTTCATTTATGGTTTTGTTTGCTGCCTATTTATTATATCTCTTGCTTTCTCCTTTCATCCCTCCCTTCCTTTCTTCATCCCTACCTTCCTCTGGCTGTTGGCGATTGGCCATCTACTCATCAGTCTGCCTTGCTTGTCCCCCATAAAACAAGAAGCCTGAAACTTGTTAAGATGTTCTTCCTATATTTTGGTTGAAGCCATCTTCCCTATCAATTCGCTCCTCCCTTCTTATCCTATTACATTTTAACATCTCCATGGTACTATAATTACCTAAATTATTCTATACATCCATGTTAGTGAGCCCATAACTCACCTACACATACATGTAATATCTCTTAACTTTTACTTTGTGACATCTGCCTTTTATATTATTACCTCTGCCAAGGGGTTGGCAGGAGGTTATGTTTTCACCGGCGTGTGTTTGTTGGTTTGTGGGTTTGTGCGTTGGTTTGTTTGTGTACAGCCTAACTGAAAAAGTTATTGACGGATTGTCATAACATTTTCAGGATAGGTCAGAAATGGGCTAACTTAGAATTGATTAGATTTTGGTGGTGATCCGGATCCAATTAAATTAATTAAT